AAAAAGTAGGGATTCACTGGCCAGCAAAAGTCACTTCATAGCTGTGTGGTGTAGACCAGGCTGAATAGTGGCCGTCAATTCTTCAGCTTTGCAAGCTGTTGAATGGTGCAATCCCAGCACAAGCTGCTCTGGCTTCTGCTGTAGGTTCGCTATCATCGCCTCTGGCGATGGGCGTCAAATGGTCAAATGGTGTGTGTGTGTGTACATGCATGCTCGTGTAATGTGTGTGTGTTAGCAAAGGTGTGTACCTGTTTTTGTTTGTCTGTGTATGTGTGTGGCTGTCGGCTTGTTCATTTCACCTCTCATATGTCACGGTGCATGTATATAAGTGTGCACATGTACATTTTCTTTTTCTTCACGAATATCCCCTGTGCTAGGTTGTCTGTAACTCAGTCTGAGTCTACTTCATGTGAAGTATGAGTTGCTATCGGCAGGCATTATAAGCCAAGGACCATCTACTCTGGTAAGTTAATAACGCTTTCTCATGTTATGCTACAAATGCCAATGTTGTTTCAACAACATTCGCTGCTGCTGATCATGCTGCGGCCGAAACGTTTTTCATGAAAGCACAAACCAATAAGTATATGAATGCAGGAAGAGCACAAGATGGAAAAGAGAACAGCAGCTAAACTCTGCTGCTGTTGTTTCTGCTGGTAATGTTGTTGCTGCTGCTAGTGCAGATTTGACACCTTGGTTCACAATCGTGTTACTCTTCTACAATTTAAAGTGAATAATCACGGGCTTTCAAAACAAGAACAAATCAGCACAAATGCCTGGTGTTTAATTCTCACTTTCTACAAACTTCATGCCTGCAATTTGCCTTCCAAGCACAACGCCAATGTCAGTTGCACACTCTTGGGGTCTATAGCCTTTTAATGGTGCATGTATCGTCCTGCCGTAAAGCCTGTGTTTACCGCACTCTGTACCAAGCGGAATCCTGAATTGACTGGACAAATGTTCATCCACCAAGTGATGTGGATTGAATGTTCATCTGAATCAAGTGGAATCCTGTGATACTGGTGTGCACTCCATAAAGGGAGGGGGGGAGATGCGGCTTGCACTCCGTAAAGAGGGGGGGGGGGGGGGGAGATACGGCTTGCACCCCGAAAAAGTGTGGGGGGGGGGGGGGGAGATGCGCCTTGTACCGTATTTTCCGGGGTATAAGCCGCACCGGGGTATAAGCCGCACCCCCCCTTTTTGAGGCAAAATATTGACTAAAAGTTGGTATTCGGAGTATAAGCCGCACCTACGAACCAAGATTTTTCACACTCATTGACAAATGGCCTTTCTACAAATTTATTATGGTTATGGAGCTAAATACCATGTTAGATCAGATTATGAAGTGTTAGTGCACCACAGGTTGCTGCAGAGATGTTGGTGTATTGCTGTGTTGACTACAGATCACTCCATGTTGACTACAGATCACTCCATGTTGACTACAGTACAGATCACTCCATGGTATTATCGTATCGCTGTATACTAGGATGTGTGGAAACCAGCACTTGCAGTACGCAAAATAGATTCCCCGTATATGCGTACCGTATGGTGTAGCCCGCGCACTAAAACTAGTAAAAGTGCCGGGATAGCAACACAGGCGCGAAGCTGAGTCGAATGACATGTCACATGACGTCAGCATGCCTACTGATGTATGCTAAGCATTCATTCGCGCAAGCATATTCGGTGTATAAGCCGCAGGGGCGATTTTGGTCCGATTTTTAGCGAAAAAAGTGCGGCTTATACCCCGGAAAATACGGTACTCTGTAAAGAGCGGCGGGGGGGGGGGGGTGCAGTTTGGGGAGATTGCACCCCGTGAAGAGGGGGGGGGGGGGGGGGGAGATGCGGTTTGCACTCCGCAAAAAGGGGGGATGCGATTTGCACTCCGTAAAAAGGGGGAGATGTGGCTTTCACTCCGTAAAGAAGGGGGTTGCGGCTTGCACCCCGTCAAGGGGGGGGGGGGATGCGGCTTGAACTCTATCAGGAAGGGGGGGGGGGCGGGGCGATGCAGAGAGCTCGGGGATATACGATTTTGAACTTGCATATTTTTAAGACCTTTGATACCCTCTCAAATGTGTGTGCGTGTGTGTTTGGTAAGGGGGGGGGGGGAGTGCTGTATGTGTTTGGTCACTTTGGTGTGTGTGTCCACTCTAGATTAGTAACCCGCTCTAAAATGAAGTGTTACTTCATTGGACACTGCAGAATGCAGTTTTTCTGAACCTTGTCCTCACCCACTCTGCAGTGTACTGTGCTGTACTTGATCGCGCTGTTACTTGATCGCGTTGTTACTTGATCACGTTGTTACTTGATCGCGTTGTTACTTGATCGCGTTGTTACTTGATCGCGTTGTTACTTGATCGCGTTGTTACTTGATCGCGTTGTTACTTGATCGCGTTGTTACTTGATCACGTTGTTACTTGATCGCGTTGTTACTTGATCACGTTGTTACTTGATCGCGTTGTTACTTGATCGCGTTGTTACTTGATCGCGTTGTTACTTGATCGCGTTGTTACTTGATCACGTTGTTACTTGATCGCGTTGTTACTTGATCGCGTTGTTACTTGATCACGTTGTTACTTGATCACGTTGTTACTTGATCACGTTGTTACTTGATCACGTTGTTACTTGATCGCGTTGTTGCTTGATCGCGTTGTTACTTGATCGCGTTGTTACTTGATCGCGTTGTTACTTGATCACGTTGTTACTTGATCACGTTGTTACTTGATCGCGTTGTTACTTGATCACGTTGTTACTTGATCACGTTGTTACTTGATCACGTTGTTACTTGATCACGTTGTTACTTGATCGCGTTGTTACTTGATCACGTTGTTACTTGATCGCGTTGTTGCTTGATCGCGTTGTTACTTGATCGCGTTGTTACTTGATCGCGTTGTTACTTGATCGCGTTGTTACTTGATCACGTTGTTACTTGATCGCGTTGTTACTTGATCGCGTTGTTACTTGATCGCGTTGTTACTTGATCACGTTGTTACTTGATCACGTTGTTACTTGATCGCGTTGTTACTTGATCACGTTGTTACTTGATCACGTTGTTACTTGATCGCGTTGTTACTTGATCGCGTTGTTACTTGATCGCGTTGTTACTTGATCACGTTGTTACTTGATCGCGTTGTTGCTTGATCACGTTGTTACTTGATCACGTTGTTACTTGATCGCGTTGTTACTTGATCACGTTGTTACTTGATCACGTTGTTACTTGATCGCGTTGTTACTTGATCGCGTTGTTACTTGATCGCGTTGTTACTTGATCACGTTGTTACTTGATCACGTTGTTACTTGATCGCGTTGTTACTTGATCACGTTGTTACTTGATAACGTTGTTACTTGATCGCGTTGTTACTTGATCGCGTTGTTACTTGATCGCGTTGTTACTTGATCACGTTGTTACTTGATCACGTTGTTTGCTTGATCGCGTTGTTACTTGATCGCGTTGTTACTTGATCGCGTTGTTACTTGATCGCGTTGTTACTTGATCACGTTGTTACTTGATCGCGTTGTTACTTGATCACGTTGTTACTTGATCACGTTGTTACTTGATCACGTTGTTACTTGATCGCGTTGTTACTTGATCACGTTGTTACTTGATCGCGTTGTTACTTGATCACGTTGTTACTTGATCACGTTGTTACTTGATCGCGTTGTTACTTGATCGCGTTGTTACTTGATCACGTTGTTACTTGATCGCGTTGTTACTTGATCGCGTTGTTACTTGATCACGTTGTTACTTGATCACGTTGTTACTTGATCGCGTTGTTACTTGATCACGTTGTTACTTGATCGCGTTGTATTTTATTGCGCTGAACTTTTTCGCGCTGTAAATAACAATTATCACGCCTTACTTTTTCGCGCTGAGTTGCTGGCGCTGTACTTTACCGCACTAATAGTCCTGGCACTGAAGAAGCTGGCGCTGTGAAATCAGGCACTGAAGTGCTGGTGCTGAAATGCATCGCGCTGAAACGGTCGCGCTGGAGTGGCAAGTCACCCTTTGAATTTCTCTCCCCTCTCTCAGGGAGACCCATGGTACCCATGTGACCAGTTTCTGGCAGTGACTAATTACAAATGGGGGGGGGGGGAGGGGGGAGGTGTGGATTACTCTCCGTAAAGAGGGGGTGCTGGGTTGCAGCTCGGGGTGAAGCAATGACATCAGACCTCGACAGCCTCTTAGCTCGCACCCCATAAAGAGGGGGGGGGGGGGGGGGCTGCGGCTTGCGCCCTGTAAAATACAGTGATCTTCAGTGTCCTTGGTCTTTCTTCTACTTGGTTCTACTTCCTTTCAGAAGATCTACCGACATACCTCTGGAAACGTTCTCCTCACCTCCAGAAGCGCCGTTCATTTCAATAATCACAGCCATACTTGTTCCTGTATTGCCAGCTGCTACATTCTGTGATCCAATGGACATTCTACCAAGTGAGTATCCGCTGCTCCGAAAGAGATTTTGAATAGTTCAAAGTTCTACTATTGTTTATTTTTTAAATCCACTGCAAAGCAGCATCTCTGGAAGGTGATCCGGATTTTTGATATACGATTTTGAACTTGCATATTTTTAAGACCTTTGATATCCTCTCAAATGTGTGTGCGTGTGTGTTTGGTAAGGGGGGGGGGGGGGGGTGCTGTATGTGTTTGGTGTGTGTGTCCACTCTAGATTAGCAACTCGCTCTAATATGAAGTGTTACTTCACTGGGGCAGGACAAAATGCAGTTTTTCTGCACCTTGTGCTCACCCACTGACTGCATGCAGTGTGGTGAGCCCATATGTGCGATCATTCCCAAGTCAATATGAAACAAGGATGTCGAGCCAATAATAATAATAATAATAATACACCATAGCTCAGTGGTTAGAGCATCGCTAGCTACAAGCGAGGGTCCCTGGTTCGAGTCCTGATGGTGACAGTCAATTTTTTCTTCAGACTTTTCCCGTTTGTCTCTTTCCCTCAAACTAGTGAAAATAATAATAATGATTTTTAGAATTGCGATCAACAGAACGAGCTGAATCGACATTTCACAAAGGCTTTTATTGTATTCAAAAAACGAGTGGCCGAGTGGCTACGAAGGCAGTGAAGAACATGGAAGAAAGAAAAAATGTGATATGGAAGAAATGATGAACAAAAAATTGTACTTCGAACTAGTTTTCGCACGACACTCCTCAGGAAGCTACGTTGTACTAATGAAAAACAATCCAGACAGATACTAATAAAGAGAAACGTAGTGAGAAGAAACAACACCTATGAAAATGATATTCCTAGCACAAAGGTAATAACAGGACAAACTGCGAAAGCACTTAACGAACTTGTCAAGTGTTCTCCGAGGATGGAGAAAAGCCGTCTTGCAAGCTCGTGTCAGGCAGTTGAAGACAGTCGAGTACTTGTAGTACTGTAACTCACTTGTCTTCAGCCAAGCACACGTTCTGCTTTGTCTGCATGATTTATGCTGTACCACTCGTACCACGCTACAAGTACCAAAATTGCCGGAAATTTCCACAATTTGACCACACTAATACTTTGCTGCAATTTTTCACAGACCCCGCAATATTCCCCGCAATATTCCGCGCAATTTGTGGCATTTTACCTCGCAACGTTTTCCGCGATATTTCTGAAATTTCTCCTCGAGTTTCTGGAGGGACAGATTCTTTCCTTGAATTCAATTTGGTCTTGTAACGTGTAACGGTATGGATATATAGCTGCGGTGTCTGTACAGGAGATTCACAGTGCATGACTTCTCTGCATGTCCATGTTGTGTGTCTGTTTCTGCAGGAAGAAGGACGGCAGCCAACAAGCCGGCGAAGAAAATTCAATAGTATTGTGTGTGTGTGTGTGTGTGTGTGTGTGTGTGTGTGTGTGTGTGTGTGTGTGTGTGTGTGTGTGTGTGTGTGTGTGTGTGTGTGTGTGTGTTTGTTTTGTGCTCCTTGGGAGCAGGTTACACTTTCTAAGCTCCGTGTTCTTGGCTTTCTCCCAAGTTTTCTGCCTGCCCAGGGCGACTCTGGCGTAGCCAGAGTCGACCCTGGAGCACCCTCGCACACTGCCAAGGTAGTGCTGCATGATTGGAGCGCGGAATCGCGATGTAGCTTGCACTTTGATATTGTCACTGCTGCGTCGGCCGTGGTCCACCACTCGCAGTGGAGTAGCTGTCCCTCGAGTGCTGTGAAGAATACAAGCTCGAAGAATGCAGTGGTGGGAATTGCGGATTGGCTGGTGGAGTGCTGGAACAACTCGTTGTTTTCAGTGGAGTGGACGAGCGAGTGCGGAGAGGAAGGTCCCAATGGCGGAATGGTGGGAATTGAAACTTCAATCTTTCGTCGTCATGAGTGCACTGGTCAAGCGTTGTGGAAGTCTGTCGGATTTGTGAGGCCTTGCCCTGCCGCTTACATCGTCAACGTGGAAGAACTGCTAGTGGAGTCCTGGTGGGATTTCGGATGCCCACACTCCTTTTGCTTGGTGGATTCTTTCGTGGACAGTGTTTTTTCGTGACGTGAAATTTTGAATTTTTTTCCTTCCTGTTCATTGTCAGTCGTTTTCACTGTAGCTGTCAGGTTGTTGTTACAGTACAGCAGTCGTCCGTTCTGCTCCATTGTTTCATCTGTTTTGCCAGTTCTGCTAGCTGATTCTATTTATTTGCCACTGCCCCTCATAGTGCTCATGCTTGGGTGGAGGGCGGCGTGACCCGTTTAGGGTAGCTGTATCATAGTAGTAGTAGTAGTAGTGTGTGTGTGTGTGTGTGTGTGTGTGTAGGCTCGGCTGCTTGAAGGTGTAATGTTGTACCTGCCACCTTTGTTGGTTCCAGGGTTCATATACTTTCTATTTGAAGTATACATACCTGTTAACCATGGACTGCTTCTGGCTAGATTAACTCTTGTGTAATCAATGGTGCTAGTGAAGCTTTTATCAGATCCACTCTGATTTAGCCACTCACACTAGTAGCAAATATTACCTTCACTGGGGGCAGGGGTAACTGCAGTTGGATCCCGGGACGGATACCTGATGCCGTCAATCCTTTTTCTGCACCTTGTCCTCACCCACTTACTGAGGTGTGGTGAGCCCATAAGTGGGATCATTTTCAAGTCCACCCAGAGTTTTGGGGATTTCAGGGGGTGTCGGCCGTTGGGCGGTTCAATAACCAATTGAGTCATCTTTCCAAGATTCCTTTTGAGTCTCTCTCCCCTCTCCCGGGGGGACTCACGTGACCAGTTTTGGCAGTGAGCAACAAGTAGAACAAGTACAAGTGTGTGTGTGTGTGTGTGTGTGTGTGTGTGTGTGTGTGTGTGTGTGTGTGTGTGTGTGTGTGTGTGTGTGTGTGTGTGTGTGTGTGTGTGTGTGTGTGTGTGTGTGTGTGTGTGTGTGTGTGTGTGTGTGTGTGTGTGTGTGTGTGTGTGTGTGTGTGTGTGTGTGTGTGTGTGTGTGTGTGTGTGTGTGTGTGTGTGTGTGTGTGTGTGTGTGTGTGTGTGTGTGTGTGTGTGTGTGTGTGTGTGTGTGTGTGTGTGTGTGTGTGTGTGTGTGTGTGTGTGTGTGTGTGTGTGTGTGTGTGTGTGTGTGTGTGTGTGTGTGTGTGTGTGTGTGTGTGTGTGTGTGGTGTGTGTCCCATATGGTGCAGTGGTATGTGCAGCGATTTCCAATCGATAGGTTGCGGGTTCGATTCCCGACGATTATGGTCACACACGTCTTTCTTCTCTTTCTCAGACTCTTCCTGACTTTTCTTTCATTCTCCTGGGTGGTTACCAACAGCCAGTGTATGCCGGAGTATGTGGTGTGGTGTGTGTGTAGAAAAAAAGAAAAAAATGAAAAATAGGGATTCACTGGCCAGAAAAAGTCACTTCAAACAGCTGTGTGGTGGATACCAGGCTACAAATAGTGGCGGTCAATTCATCAGCCTTGCAAGCTGTTGAATGGTGTAATCCCAGCACAAGTTGCTATGTCTAACATAGCTGTTCGCTATCATCGCTCCCGCGATGGGCATGTCTGAGGTCTGAGGTGTGCGCGCGCGTCTTCCCCCCCCCCCCTCTTTCTGTGTGTGTGTGCGCGCGCGCGCGTGTGTGTGTGGGGGCTAAAAATAGTGGCGGTCAATTCATCAGCCTTGCAAGCTATTGAAAGGTGTAATCCCAGCACAAGTTGCTATGTCTAACATAGCTGTTCGCTATCATTGCTTTCGCGATGGGCAGGTCTGAGGTGTGTAGCTGTGATTCTGTTCTGGCTTTGTTTATACCGTCATGATTGTGTTCTTTTTGTATGTTCGTTTGCAGTCCCTGCCGTTCTTGTGTTCTGTTTGTGTGGTGATGGGGTGTGCAGCTGTGATTCTGTTCTGGCTTTGTTTATACCGTCATGATTGTGTTCTTTTTGTATGTTTGTTTGCAGTCCCTGCCGTTCTTGTGTTCTGTTTGTGTGGTGATGGGTGTGTGTCTTCAGCTACTTGGCTTGCTGATGGCTGAACTCTTGTTGTTGTTTCCTCATGTGCAAGAGGAAGGAGAAAGAAGACGGGAAGAAAAGTCTGAAATGTGTTATTTTTGTGTTTGTTTGCAGTCCCTGCTGTTGTTGTGTTCTGTTGTGTGGTGATGGGTATGTCACCAGCTAGTTGGCTTGCTGATGGTTCGCTGAATGAACTCTTGTTGTTTCTGCATGAGGAAGGAGAAAGAAGCCGGGAAATTCTACAGGAGAAGAAATTTAAAATGACATTGTGTTCTTTTTGTATGTTTCTTTGCAGTCCCTGCTTTCAGCAAGCCAAGTAGCTGAAGACACACCCATCACCACACAAACAGAACACAAGAAAAGTGTTCTGTTTGTGTGGTGATGGGTGTGTCTTCAGCTACTTGGCTTGCTGATGGCTGATCTCTTGTTGTTTCCTCATGTGCATGAGGAAGGAGAAAGAAGACGGGAAATTCTACAGGAGAAGAAAAATGTAAAATTCTGCCATCCCAAACCCCGACCACCATCCCCTCCTGGAATGATTACTTTTATAGCCTATCCTGGCTCTGATTTTCACACCTGAAATGACCAGTCAATCGCCCTCAGCCAATCAGAGCTCAGCAAGTGTTTTCTTCTTGGAAAATTCTACCCTCATGCAGAAACAACAAGAGTTCAGAGGCCATCAGTGTTTCCTCATGCAGAAACAACAAGAGTTCAAGCCAAGAAGAAAAATGTAAAATTCTGGCCATCCCAAACCCCGACCACCATCCCCTCCTAGAATGATTACTTTTATAGCCTATCCTGGCTCTGAACTTCACACCTGAAATGATCAGTCAACTGCCCTCAGCCAATCAGAGTTGAGCAAGTCCTAGCACCATTTGCAAAGTACTCAACAGCAACTCTGATTCCACCTGATGACAGTCAATCAATCATATTTCTACCTATCATGCCAAGAACACAAGTACTAGCACACAGTCTAACAAGATAGCAGCTACCATGGCTACTCAGTCACTTTGCCTTAGAGTCAAGTATGAGAGTGCATGCTGGGGAGTGTAGCTAGTCAGCCATGCATTAAGCTGATGACACACCCATCACCATACACACACACAACACAAGAACGGCAGGGACTGCAGAGAAACACACAGAAAGAACACAATCATGACGGTATAAACAAAGCAAGAACAGAATCACAGCTGCACACACTCGATCGATCAAGAAGAGAGAGAGACAGACAGACGGGGGGGGGGGGGGGTGAGAAGAACAACACCAGTGCGATACTACAAGCGCAATAACCGCACCGTTGCACTGCAAGTTGGCTAGAGAAGTGATGGCAAGGGCAGTGCCACAGTATACCAATCACTGAATATTCATGATAGGTTGGCACCACTGCACTTCCAGTATAGCAAGTAACACAGTATTGATGTACCAGTGCATACGTCCGCTCAGTCCAACATGCAGCAGCAGCAGCAGTGTTACAAGTACAACATGTAAGCATTGCAGAAAGTGCTACGTAGCAGCCACTTTAAAAACTAGAATGTAAACATCACTGCAGCTGTACATGAAGTCAACAGCTGCAGCAGGGTATGATTTCACGCAGCTGAACAGTTGACCTGTGTTTTTTGCTGCTGCTGTGTTATTTGCTGCTGCACACACAGTCATCAGACAACGGAACACACGCCAACACACCTTTGGGAATGCTCTTTCCCGAATGCGATGATAGCTGTTAGGCGAGGCAGTGATTCTGTGATCAGACAAGTTATTATGATGACGGAACTTACTATGACAGGTTCAGACAACATAATACTCTCAACTTGAGTTGGCTTGGTGGTTTTGGATGGCTAAGGTCATCAGAGTCTCTCCAATACTGGGCAAGCTGGATCCACTGAGGTTGTGAGATGTAGTTTTCAGACAAACTAGCAGTTGCCATATGCAGCCATTGACGCCCCAAGTCCATGACGAGGCTGTGTGCCCATGCTGTCTGCAAACAAGACCTCTTTTCAGGACTTCACGAAAACACTGCCGGTGAACCTGGCCAATCTGCACACACACACACGTTCATGCACATGCACACACGCACACACACACATAGACACACACAAGAGATTAGGTTGTGTGGGTGAAACCCTCCAAGGTCCAGCCACACAAATCATGACAGTCCACACACGCACGCACACACACACGCACACACACACACACACACACACACACACACAAGCACACACACACACACACACACACACACACACACACACACACACACACACACACACACACACACACACACAGACACACACACACACACACACACACACACACACACACACACACACACACACACACAGACACACACACACACACACACACACACACACACACACACACACACATACGCCTGAGTGTATTCAGTACTTTGTGGAGCATTTCCCTGTGTTGCGCACATGTTGCTTGTCGAGACTCAACAATAGCTGGAAAATGAATGCAAGCACATAGAGTAGTGTGTTCTGTCCCCATGAGTATGCAGAGGTGCAAGTTCACATACACGCCGAGTGTATTCTAACACAACACGCGCAACATGGGTGACGTGTTGACGTGCAAATGCAGCTACACGCGTTCACAACGAAAGCATCATAATCTCTCTAATGGTGTTTCAGTGTAATCAAGCTACTTGTTCAAGGACAGTCAAATCTAGCCTACAAGTTACAACCTCAAATCATTCTGTACCATCAAGAGTGCATAGTCCAATGAAGCCATCCGGCATTATCGATGATTTTCACAGAACGAAAAGGTTTAGTTACGACCATCCCCCCCCCCCCCAACGAAAAATTTATCGACTTGACAGCTAGAATGGATTGATGTTTCGACTACCAATATTTTTCAAAACAAAACTCTCCCCAACACACCCACGCATAAATGAAACATTTCCGTTTTGTATAACGGAGAGATTATTATAGACGGCCCGGCCGAACGAAGAATGCAAGTCAGTGTTCTCGTCCATGGTGGATTGTTTCCGAGGACCTCAGAATTTTGGGGCCATTCGGCTCATTGATCGAACATGCATGGACAGATAAAAATGCAAAGATCTTCTACATCTTGCATAAGGTAATTTGAAGTCGAGCAACGGACGATAGATTCATGCGTCCTGAGGTTGACGAGCCAACACCATAATTATTATCATGAAGAGTACATAACAGCCCAGATTGTGCAACTCCAGTCTACGGGGTCTACAACAGCAGAGCATCACGTCATGTGACCAAAACCCGGACACACTATTTGCACCCTTTGAACAGCGCCAGGGTTGTATGCCACCGTACTTCGGGTACAACTCTCTGGTGGTCATTCTGCACTGCTTTCCCACATAACCTATATAGCTACTGAAGCTGAACCTACTGATGTGATATGAAACTCTACCGTCATCACAGCACTGAATAGAGATTGTACACGCAGTTGCACACTCATGTCAGTCTCTCGGAAAATGTACTCACTCTTCAATCAAGAGTGAGTACATTTTGAATCAAGAGTGAGTACATTTTGAATCAAGAGTGAGTACATTTTGAATCAAGAGTGAGTACATTTTGAATCAAGAGTGAGTACATTTTGAATCAAGAGTGAGTACATTTTGAATCAAGAGTGAGTCTTGATTCAAGACTCACTCTTGATTATCATACATGTACAGTATGCATCTCCCCCCCCCCCCCTCTCTCTCTTTACGAAGTGCAAGCTGCATCTCCCCCCCCCCCTTTTACGGAGTGCAAGCCGGATCTCTCCACCCCCCCCCCCCCTCTCTTTACGGAGTGCAAGAGTGCAAGCTGCATCTCCCCCCCCCCCCCCCCCTCTTTACGGAGTCCGAAATCTCCGAGCAGCGGATACTCACTTGGTAGAATGCCCATTGGATCACAGAATGTAGCAGCTGGCAATACAGGAACAAGGATGGCTGCGAATATTGATATGAACGGCGCTTCTGGAGGTGAGGAGAATGTTTCCTGAGGTATGCCGGTGGATCTTCTGAAAGGAAGTAGAACCAAGCAGAAGAAAGAAAAAAAGACACTGAAAAGCACTGTATTTTACAGGGTGCAAGCCGCAGCCCCCCCCCTCTCTTTATGGTGTGTTAGCCAAGAGGCCGTCAACGTCTGACATCACTGCTTCACCCCGAGCTGCAACCCTGCATCCACCCCCATCCCTCCTCTTTACGGAATGAAAGCCACATCTCCCCCCCCCCTCTTTACAGAGTGCAATCCACATCTCCCCGCCTTTTTACTGAGTGCAAACCGCATCTCCCCCACCTCTCTACGGAGTGCAAGCTGAATCTCCCCCTCTTTACGGAGAGTACCCCCCCCCCCACCCCCTCTTTACGGAGAGTACCCCCCCCCCCCCCCATTTGTACTTAGACACTGCCAGAAACTGGTCACAAGGGTCTCCTTGAGAGAGGGGAGAGAAATTCAAAGGGTGACTTGCCACTTTAGCGCGACCATTTCATCGCGATGCATTTCCGCGCCGGCACTTCAGTTCCTGATTTCACAGCGCCATGACTATCAGCGCGGTAAAGTACTGCGCAAGCAACTCAGTGCGAAAAAGGAAGGCACGATAATTTACAGCGCGATCGAGTACGGCGCGATCAAGTACGGCGCGATCAAGTACGGCGCGATCAAGTACGGCGCGATCAAGTACGGCGCGATCAAGTACGGCGCGATCAAGCACGGCGCGATCAAGTACGGCGCGATCAAGTACGGCGCGATCAAGTACGGCGCGATCAAGTACGGCGCGATCAAGTACGGCGCGATCAAGTACGGCGCGATCAAGTACGGCGCGATCAAGTACGGCGCGATCAAGTGCAGCACAGTACAGTTCAGCGCGATAAAGTACAGCGCGATACAGTACAGCACGATACAGTACAGCGTGATCAAGTACAGCGTGATACAGTACAGCGCAAAGTCGATACTTGTACAGTCATAGTCACAACAAGCAATGTCCATGCATACATTGTATAATAAATTGGCGCTTAGATCTGTAGCGCTGAGATGTGCGGCGCTGACACATTTGGCGCTGAAATATATGGCGCTAGTCTGCTGGCCCTGAAGTACACAGCACTGAAATATGTTGTGCTGTAACCTTCAGCGTTCACGGCGAACATAAACGGTCGCGCTCACCTGGTTGGCGCTGAACTTGACTTTGCCGAAATGGCATGGAACCATTCAAAAGAATTATCTAGGATTGGAAAGATGGCTCGATTGGTCATTGAACAACGGGTGACCCCTCTACAAAACACTGGGTTGACTTGGGAATACAGAAAGGAAAGCAATAGATGGATACTAGTTAAGAGCAACTATTAGTATATTATTATTGGCTCAACATCCTTGTTTCATATTGACTTGGGAATGATTGCACATATGGGCTCACCACACTGCAGTCAGTGGGTGAGGACAAGGTTCAGAAAAACTGCATTCTGTCCTGCCCCAGTGAAGTAACACTTCATATTAGAGCGGGTTGCTAATCTAGAGTGGATACACACACCAAACACATACAGCACCCCCCCCCCTCTCCTCCCCAAACACACACGTGTGTGCATGCATTTGAGAGGATATCAAAGGTCTTGAAAATTTGCAAGTTCAAATTCGTATATCCAAAATCCGGATCAGCTTCCAGACATGCTCATTTGTAGTGGATTGAAAAAAAACTGTGGCAGAACTTTGAACTATTCGAAATCTCTTTCAGACCAGCGGATACTCACTTGGTAGAATTTCCATTGGATCCCAGAATGTAGCAGCTGGCAATACAGGAACAAGTATGGCTGTGAATATTGAAATGAACGGCGCTTCTGGAGATGAGGAGAAAGTTTCCAGAGGTATGCCGGTAGATCTTCTGAAAGGAAGTATAACCAAGTAGAAGAAAGACCCAGGACACTGAAGAGCACTGTGTTTTACAGGGTGCAAGCCGCAGTCCCCCCCCCCCCAACTCTTTATGGGGTGTAAGCCAAGAAGCCGTCGAAGTCTGACGTCACTGCTTCACCCCGAGCTGCAACACCGCATCCCCCCCCCTCTTTAGAGAGTGCAAGCCGCACCCCCCCCCCCTCTCTTTAGAGAGTGCAAGCCGCACCCCCCCCCCCTCTCTCTCTACGGAGAGTAGTCCACTCCCCCCCCCCTCCCCTCCCCTCCCTCCATCCATTTGTACTTAGTCAAGCCTAGTTCACATTCGATGGGGCGCGACGGGACGCGAAGTAATAATCAACGGGAAGCGACGGGACGGTCTAACGGCGTCCAATATGAACACCAGGAACGGGAACGCAACCGTACTACCGTACAGATCGGGAAGTGAAGGGAAGAGTTGGATCGATTCAACTTTTCATACCGTAGACGGGGACGCAAGCGTACAAAACGGCTGCAATTTGAGTGTGAACAGGAGACGGCGTAGTGCGCCGACTACTCCCGATTCTTAATTGGAAATGTTTAACATTTCGAACACTGCGCTTCCCATGATAACTCACAGAATGGCCAGCACGACTTGAGTTGAATTTTAGCAAGATAAGATCTCATGTCATTTATTGTATTTAGGGATAGTTAAGGAGCATGACAGATGAACTATTCTATCATTTCCTGGGCCTATTATTTGGATGCCACAACTTTCAGGGCTAATTTTTTGGTCTTCATGAAAAACTGGTATCGTGGACTTGATTCCGCTTCTTTCAAGGAGAAATAACTGAAAAGAAGTCCCGAGAAACGAGAAATTAGGTCCGAAAGTCACCCCGTCACGGACCGTGCCTTATGACTCGTGCCGTTCCCTGTTCAACGACTCAACGACTGCAGCAGGTCGTGTGGTACGAATCGTACAAGATTTTACAGCTCAGCCTAGCATTCCAGACAGGCCCTTACGTCCCGTACCGTCAGCGTTCCGTTGTATATAAACTAAGCTTCACTGCCAGAAACTGGTCACATGGGTCTCCCTGAGAGAGGGGAGAGAAATTCAAAGGGTGACTTGCCACTTCGGCGCGACATTTTCAGCGCGGTGCATTTCAGCGCCTGCACTTCAGTGCCTGATTTCACAGCGCCAGCTTCTTCAGCGCCATGACTATCAGCGCGGTAAAGTACAGCGCCAGCGACTCAGCACGAAAACGTAAGGCGTGGTAATTTACAGCGCGAAAAGGTTTAGAGCGATACAGTACAGCGTGATACAGTTCAGCGCAAAGTCAATACGTGTACAGTAATAGTCACAACAGGCGATGTTCATACATACATTGCATAATAAATTTGCGCTGAGAAACATGGCGCTTAGATTTGTGGCGCTGAGACCTGTCGCGCTGACATATTTGGCGCTGAAATATATGGCGCTGATTTAGGTGGCGCTGAGATATGATATTCGGCGCTAGTCTGCTGGCCCTGAAGTATACAGCATTGAAATATGTCGCGCTGTAAAATTTGGCGTTTATGTTCACGGCGAACAGAAACGGTCGCGCTCATGGTTGGCGCTGAACTTGACGGCGCCGAAATGGCATAGAATCATTCAAAGGAAATATCTAGGATTGGAAAGATGGCTCCATTGGTTATTGAACAACGGGTGACCCCCTCTTCGAAACAATGGGTTGACTTGGGAATACAGAATGGAAAGGAATAGATGGATACTAGTTAAAAGTGTAAAACTTACCACAAGTTACCCGTCATGTGTCACACTTCTTTGGATTTTTAACCTTTGTTTTTCCCTTGATCTCTTTAGTTCCGTATTTCCACTGATGATCGGAACGTGAAAATCGATTTTGGAAACACACAAAACCAAACCTTGAACAAATTGTCATGTTGCGTGGTGATGTCTGCGGCATTCATACTTTTCATTGCTATTATTAAACTAGTTAAAAGAGTAACTAATATTATTATTTTTATTATTCAAAGGATCAGTTGGGGAAGTGAACTGCCTGAAAAGAGAAAAAATCGCCAGACCCACCAGGACTCGAACCCGGGACCTTGCTTGTCATGAGCAATGCTCTAACCACTGAGCTATGGGACCAGGCTGAACCTAGAAGGCGCCGACAAGTTTTCACTCCAAAGGCAGCTCACAACACGTGCCACACATACTGATGGCACTTAGGTCTTTCTCCCTCCCCCAGGGGATCAACCACGGTCAGTTTCACGTGTTGTGAGCTGCCTTTGGAGTGAAAAACTTGTCAGCGCCTTCTAGGTTCAGCCTGGTCCCATAGCTCAGTGGTTAGAGCATTGCTCATGACAAGCAAGGTCCCGGGTTAGAGCCCTGGTGGGTCTGGCGATTTTTTCTCTTTTCAGGCAGTTCACTTCCCCAACTGATCCTTTGAATTTGAATTTCTCCCAATCCTTTCAAAAAAATTATTATTAGGCCCAAACAAATAATGACCTTGTTTCCGGTCGCCCGACCGGGCCACTTTTTCCCAAATTCTGAAACTTTTTTTGGTGCCAAATGTATACAAACGGTGGCAATGCCATGTGTGCAAGTGCACTCAACGAGTCATAACTCAGTCAAATCTCAACCGAATTCCACAATTAAAACACCTACTAGGTAGCAGAGATTCTCAGCTGTCGGCTCGAAAACCTCCGGGGTCGATACGAGCTAGAATAACGGAGCTGGAAGGACTCGAACTGTTTGCTTGATTTCTCAGGTTGTACGAAAACAGGAATACATCACATGCTGTACAAGAACAGTGAGTCAGTACGCAGTCAACTAACTTTGACATTGATCCTTGCCGTGATATATGTACAATGTACATGTGTAGGTGCTCTTGTCCATCAATACCACAACAATTGAGGAACCAAAATAAAATATACAAAAAAAGTTTCATTCCGGCCGACCGAGTCTCCTTTTCGAGGGGTTGCCGACCGGAAACAAGCCTATTTTTTGTTTTGGCCTTATTATTATTTACTCAGATGGAGAGCCAAGGTTTAATCTATACAAAAGAGAAAGACCAAGGAACTACAAGTTACGAAGTTACAAGTTAGTTATTGTTATTATTATTATTGGCTCAACATCCTTGTTTCATATTCATTTGGGAATGGTCGCACATACGGACTCACCACACTGCAAAGTGGGTGAGGACAAGGTGCAGAAAAACTGCATTCTCTCTTGCTCCAGTGAAATAACATTTCTTATCAGAGCGGGTTGCTAATCTAGAGTGGATACACACACCAAACACATACAGCACCCCCTCCCCTCCCCAAACACACACGTGTGTGCATGCATTTGAGCTGAGGATATCAAAGGTCTTGAAAGTATGCAAGTTCAAATTCGTGCATCAAAAATCCGGATCAGCTTCCAGAGATGCTCATTTGTAGTGGATTTTTAAAAAAACGGTATTAGAACTTTGAACTATTCGAAATCTCTTTCAGAGTAGCGGATACTCACTTGGTAGAATTTCCATTGGATCACAGAATGTAGCAGCTGGCAATACAGGAACAAGAATGGCTGTGAATAGACACCCTTAGCAAAAAACGTTATGTTGTAACGGTATTATCGTAAGGGGGAAAATACCGTGATTTGGGTTCGACCTTTAGCAAGATGCACGCTATTTTTAGTACGCTGTTGCCACGAGAGTAGCTTCGATTTCGCGCGGTACAACCATTTTTGTCACCATATACGCGATACAAGGTGAAATGCGTACGGACTATGCAATATTTGGCCAAAACACGTACCGTTGGTCACAACGATAAATCAGCCCCCATAACGTTTATACGCTGCAGCTTCAACGCTATTTGGGTGATCAAGGTACGAGTACCGTAAAAAATAGCGTTACCGTTGTTTGCTAAGGGTGTCTAATATTGATATGAACGGCGCTTCTGGAGGTGAGGAGAACGTTTCCAGAAGTATGCCGGTAGATCTTCTGAAAGGAAGTAGAACCAAGTAGAAGAAAGACCAAGGACACTGAAGAGCACTGCATTTTACAGGGTGCAAGCCGCAACCCCCCCCCCCCCTCCCCCTCTTCATGGGGTGCAAGCCAAGAGGCCGTCAAAGTCACGACGTCACTTCCTCACCCCGAGCTGCAACCGCGCACCCCTCCACCCCCCTCTTTACAGAGTGCAAGACGCATTTCTCTCTCCCCCCCCCCCCTTACGGAATGAAAGCCATATTTCCCCCTCCCTTTTTACGGAGTGCAAACCGCATCTCCCCCCCCCCCCCCCCTATACAAAGTGCAAACCGCATCTCCCCCCCCCCCTCTTTACAGAGTGCAAGCCGCATCTCCCCCTCTTTATGGAAAGTAATCCTCTAGAGTGGATACAAACACCAAACACAAGCCATCGAATGTTGACGTCACTGCTTGATCTCGCGCTGCAACCCCGCACACCCCCCCCCCCCCCCCGCCCCTCTCTACAGAGTGCAATCCACATCTCCCCCCTCTTTACGGAGTGCAAGCCGCATCTCCCCCTCTTTACGGAGAGCAATCCACACCCCCCCCCCCCCATTTGTATTTAGTCACTGCCAAAAACTGGTCACATGAGTCTCCCTGAGAGAGGGGAGAGAAATTCAAAGGGTGACTTTCCACTTTAGCGCGACCATTTCAGCACGATGCATTTCAGCGCCAGCACTTCAGTGCCTGATTTCACAGCGCCATCTTCTTCAGCGTCATGACTATCAGTGCGGTAAAGTACAGCACCAGCAACTCAGCGCGAAAAAGTAAGGCGCGATAATTATTATTTACAGCGCGAAAAGTAAGGCATGGTAATTTAGAGCGCGATAAAGGTCAGCGCGATCAGGTACAGCGCAGTACAGCTCAGCGTGATACAGTACAGCGTGATACAGTACAGCGCAAAGTCGATACTTGTACAGTAATAGTCACAACAGACGATGTTCATACATACATTGTATAGTAAATTGGCGCTTAGATCTGTGGTGCTGAGGTCGGCATTTATGTTCGAACATGTTCACGGCGAACATAAACAGTCGCGCACACCTGGTTGGCGCTGAACTTAACGGCGCCGAAATGGCATGGAATCATTCAAAGGAATTAGAGTGGATGCACAGCCCAAACACATACAGTCAGTGGGTGAGGACAAGGTGCAGAAAAACTGCATTCTGTCCTGCCCCAGTGAAGTAACACTTCATATTAGAGCGGGTTGCTAATCTAGAGTGGATACACACACCAAACACACCAAATGCTCACAGCACCCACCCCCCTCCCCAAACACACACGCACACACATTTGAAAGGATATCAAAGGTCTTGAAAATATGCAAGTTCAAGTTTGTATATCAAAAATCCGGATCAGCTTCCAGAGATGCTCATTTGTAGTGGATTTAAAAAAACGATAGTAGAACTTTGAACAATTCGAAATCTCTTTCGGAGCAGCGGATACTCACTTGGTAGAATGTCCATTGGATCACAGAATGTAGCAGCTGGCAATACAGGAACAAGTGTGGCTGTGAATATTGATATGAACGGCGCTTCTGGAGGTGAGGAGAACGTTTCCAGAAGTATGCCGGTAAATCTTCTGAAAGGAAGTATAACCAAGTAGAAGAAAGACCAAGGATACTGAAGATCACTATATTTTACAGGGTGGAAGCCGCAGCCCCCCCCCCCCCCTTATGGGGTGCAAGCCAAGAGGTGTCGAAGTCTGACGTCACTGCTTTACCCCGCGCTGCAACCCCGCGACCCCCCCCCCCCCCCTCCTTACGGAGTGCAACCCGCATGTCTCCCCCTCCCCTCTTTATGGAATGAAAGCCATATTTTCCTCCCCCTCTCCACAGAGTGCAATCCACATCTCCCCGCTTTTTAACGGAGTGCAAACCGCATCTCCCCCCTCTTCACGGAGTGCAAGCCGCATCTTTCCCTCATCACGGAGAGTAATCCACATCCCCCCCCCCCCCGGTCTTGTAACCAAGCCCATGTGCAAGTTTGGTGTTCTTTTGCTAATGTTCTTGGCCACGGATTGCTTTGCACTGGTGATTTCAGGAACAAAATCGCAGGTCTTGTACCCGTTTCTGTAGAGTCGTGAGCGTTTACAGTACACTTTAGGCTTTGTTTTTCTTCTGTTTTATGCTGAATGACGCAAACGTACCAGCAATGAAACAATAGTGCCCTCTCTTGAATACTGCCCCCTCTGTGATGGACATTGAAAAAATAGTGCCCCAGGGGCACTAATCGCGCGAGTACGGTATGCAGACACAAGTAATGAACAATGGCCACTGCGTCCTGGCTCAGCCAGAAAGCACAATGTCTCCCAAAGGTTGGGAATAAGGCAGCAGTTAGGTGCGACCCACGTAGCTACTAGCACATCATGATGACCGTATTTTCCGGGGTGTTAGCCGCACTTTTTTTAATGCCTAAAATAACTCAAAAATTGCCCCTGCAGCTTAGACTCCAAATGCTGGCCATGAATCAACCAGTGATACAGCAAGCCATGGACAATATGCATGTTTATCACTTTCTTACAGTGCTGGCAACTGAAATCCGACCCCTTAGCGATGCGTTCGCATTCTAGCGGTCTCAATTTCATAGTCTTACTATCCCGTGTTGGGTGTTTGCGATGTGAGCGCACCGCACCGCTCACGGATCGGATTTCAGTTTCCAGCACTGTAGTATTGACTCCCATTGATTTCCACTATACCTAAGCAGTCAAATATTCCTGCATATTTCCTGCATATTTCACTCCTTAGACCTTTTTAGGGCCATATTGACTGCTTTTATTTGACTGCTTGTGGGTTGCGCAGTTGAACGGTGCTGCCTAGTGCAGCATGGTCACCGTATGAGTAGGTGATGGTGCAACGGTTGCACAGAAATCCATCATTGCAGTTGTACGATCTCTCTATGCCGTCAGTTCCGCATGAGGGACAAACCAAGAAGCATTTGCTGGAACTTCAGTAGTGCTTCTCAACTTTTTGACCATTGCTAAATGTCTCGTATGTACTAGTACCCATCAAGTTTGGATGGCCAAAAATTCAAAATCTGACGTGCGTCTTATACTCAGAATGTCAAAAAAAGATACAAATTTTGGGTCCGAAAAGGAAAGTGCGGCTTAGACCCCGATGCGGCTAACACCCCGGAAAATACCCGGAAAATACGGTACTGACCTCCTTTCAGTCCGCACTAGCAAAGTGACCCGTGGACATGAACTCCATCCGTTTCCTTGCAGAGACACTTGTACAATGTCATGTTTGCAGGTATTTACGTGCCAAGCGTACCGAAACCACCGTGCAGCCATTCTGTGTCCAAAAGTCAGGCATTCCGTGGCCAAACGTCAGGCATTCCGTGGCCAAACGTCAGGCATTCCACGGCCAAACGTCAGGCATTCCGTGGCCAAACGTCAGGCATTCCACGGCCAAACGTCAGGCATTCCATGGACACACATCAGGAATTCCGTGGCCAAATGTCAGGCATTCCGTGTCCAAGCAGCAGGCATGCCGTGGCAAAATAGCAGGCATTCTGTGGCCAAACAGCAGCCATTCCATGGACAAACAGCAGCCATTCCATGGACAAACAGCAGCCACTCCATGCAGAAACAAGAACTACATCCAATTGTCACTGTGTGCAGCCATTGGCTGAAATTGTTGTTCCAAAATTGCTGGCTATGAGGCAGTTGTAACCAAGCAGAGTTCAGCTCTGGTCCATGGACCCATGACAATGTTCAACTTCTTGTAGACGTTCCGTGAAGTTTATAGCAACTTCTCTTGCTGTTACAGGGACTCGCATGTCCACCCAAAGCTACATTCAAAACTAGCCATTAGACGTCGTGTGGGGGACTGTGGAGGGAGTAGAATTCCACAGCTCTAGTCTAGGTGAAGAGAGTTAGGCCATGGCCATAACAACGCTGATACTATTATCCGGAAAATGTGCCGTGCTCCTGACAAGATTAGTGTTCACAGCTGTTAGCGGTCGCTTGAACTAGTAAGCGAAAAGCTGTTCGCTCGTCACAAAGCCTCAGTTTCCAAAACGTAGCGCACGGTCACGAAATTCAGTGGCGGCATCACCACGCCAGTACTACCCGGTACCCTAACATTGTGAGACATTGCAAACACTCGAAGAAGGAGAGATTAGAATGTGAGCACTGAATCATGGTTGAACGGAGATTGAGTAGATGCACACAGTGAATAAAAATCCTAACAAAAAAATTATAAAGAATGCCTAAGGAAATCGTTCAAATGATTTCATGGGTCAATTTTTTGCCACCGACTGTTCTAGCCTGAATGAAGATAGATTAGTAATAACGGCCGTAACGTAAAAGTCGTTACACCACCACCGATATGGGAATACTGCCGGTTGCATGCAGATCTGCATATGACTTCGAAGTAACAACACGTTACTATCGTTAGTTGCCCATGATACGGTGCACCGGTGGTAAACGGTCCAACATGCACCACTACTTTTCACTAACATTATAAAGTACGTGTTGTTGCAGCATGTAGTGTGAAGGTGCGAGACTACAAAAATTGTAGGAGCGAAAAGACGCGTTTTGGTTGGTTGTTGGTCTTGAAGGAGATCCAGGAATTTGTCGAAAAACTCGCCCTTCGGCGATTGCGCCCATGAGTATGATGACATTGTTGCTCATGAGAAATTCGATCGCGAATGCCTCGATACACCAAGGAACACACGAATTGAGGTTTGTGTAAGTTTAGATTTGGGAAGATGTTCGAAGCAAGACAACTGAGCGTCTTTCAGCACGCCACTCGATCGTGTTGCTCAGTGCGCGCGCACTGAGCGCGCGTTCAACAACCCCCACAAACCTCCGTCAAATTACACAGTGTTGTCACTTGATCAAACTCGTACTCATCAACGCTTCGCGTGTAGTGTGGCGAATACGGACTAGCGCACCCACGGCTAATGCTGTTCTCACCAACTGTCTACCCAAAGCCATCAGATAATCCCCAACAGCCGTCAACACAATATGCACTTGGCTCTTTCCGTGTGGCAGGGTTGAACAATTCGTCAGAGTATCGACAATGTTCCGTCCACACCACGACAGCGAAACATAACCACCAAACAAAGTCAATCCACCGCGTGAGTGACACGAAATTCATGTGCAAACCTTCTAGTTCAAAAATACTCTCACCTTCCATTATTCATATCACGCATACCGCGTACATGTTCAAACAATTGAAAGAATCGAAAATTTAATGGTAGCAAGCCTGTCAAAGCAAAACCAACAGAATGACCAAGTAGCGCTCAGCTCACTACTTCACTCCGACACGATCGCACTAATTGCGCAAGGCTTTTCCGTGTGGTGTGGTGGCGTTCCTACGGGTGTGGAAAGCTCCATCTCTAGCCGAGTCTCACGCCAACCTGAAATTTTTTCCCTGCACTCGTACCCCGAAGGGATATCGTTATTTCGCCTCAGCATCCTCACTCTTCCGTTCTCATGCAGAGAAACACTGCCACTCAAACAAACGTGGGAGTTACTCGAAATTCATGTGCAAACTTTCTGAATGACGTTTCACTACTCTCTTTATCCCCATCATGCCTCGCCCGCGTGTTCCGTGTTGTGACAAACACGAATAGCCTTCAAGTCACTTGCCCTCGAGTCGACTCTTTCGCACTGTCTGTGCTTTTCCGCCTGTCCTGCTCAGATTTTTCGCCCGACAATCGACACGCTTTCCATCTCACACATGCAGCCCAGGAACTAAACTTTTCAGACACTACTTTCACGTCATCACATCGAACCTTACGAGCCGTCAGCACACTAACCCCTTACGGGCAAATCAGCCGCTAACTCCCTGCACCACTCCACCCATGTTCGTCGAGAGTGAAAACAGCCTCCAACATCAAACCCCCTAGAGAGCACACTCGATTCACACGCACACCTTGTGAGTGCTATTCATATCCTCACTGCTCAGCCTCGTCCGCGTAATCCCAGGCATTGCCGAGATCTCACGCCTCCCGCTCACATCAATGAGACCAGATCGTAATCCGCGGCCACGACTTTCCCCTGTGCCGTGATCAGAGATTTCGGCAGACAATCGACACTGTTTCGCCCTCACACACAGTAATCGCATTTGCACATCCTACGTCACCTGGGCGGTTACGACCTTCTCGAGCCATTCAGCCGCCAAGGCATTGAATCTGTCGAATCAGATTTCATCACCACAAAATCATCATCAAAAACTCAGCCATTCAGGAGAGCACACGAAATTCGTGTGCAAACCTTCGGACCTACTTTTACACTGGTCGAAGTCACCCAGGCCCTGACCATCAACTCGAACACCCACCCTCTCATAGGTAGCACTGCACTCGCACACCCCATCATCTATCGACCCTTCGAAAATCGCCGTCCGCATTTTGGTACTTCTCGGACTGGACTTACCTGTGCTAAAGTATAGCAAGGGTTGTTTAATTTTTCCTTCTAGCCTTTGCCCGCACCAATTGCCGCCACTGACACTCGGAGGCAATTTCTTGCGTCTTTTCCGTATTTACACCATAGGGAGTTAGCAAATTCTCGGACTTTGACATTTTTAACGGCGTTGCGTGGCTTGAGGTGTGGTTGCGCTCCTAACGTATGGATGCGGAAAGGTCGGTCTCTAGCCGAGCTAGTCTCACGCAAACCTGATTTTTTTCCGTGCACCCGGGCCGTAGATCTACACTGCACTGCCACTGGGCGGCGCAAAGGACAGACTCAGTGCAAGGCGCAAACCTGAGTGGCGCGATTCGACTGGATTTCATTGAGCAGGAGTCATACTCATAGCAAGAGTCCATATGGACTCTTGCTCATAGTCATAGATACCGGTAACCTTGCAGCTTCAACCGGTCCCTGCAGATTTGCACTGTTTTCAACAGGTTTTCGCGCTGAGAGGAAAATAATAATACAACACCGACTCAGTACGCATGCGCGTCATTATTATGAGAACTGCATCTCCTGCTAGTCCTAGCAGCTGGGCTTTCTTCAATCAAAGTAACTGTCCGCTTTTGTTTCTTTCAGTCGGAGCCTGCTTCCATACAAAAGATAGCTGCCGCTTGAACGGATCGCAGAATTTGATAAGTTTACCAATAACGACATTAGGCCTGTTGAAAGACATTCCTCTTGCAATGCGACCCTAGTAGCGTGTGACCTAATTCGGGAGAGAAATATCAGGTCGACAACAACCGATAGCCAAAAGTCGAGCGCAAAAAAAAGGTAAGTCGCCTTTGTTTATTGGAAATCGTGGAAGTCGTTGTTCCCTATTGTAAACGTCATTGTCCTTGTAACTTGTAAACGGTGGGGCATACCTAGTAACTTTCAACCCGGTGGTTTAGGGTGTTGCTTCGCATTGAGCGAGTCCTGCGTTCAACCTCACTCCTTCAAGGGAAGTGTGGGGCTCTGATATGCTTGAAAACCTGGGTCAGCCTTGTAACTCCATAACCGGAGATCCGGGATGTGTGTTGCTTGGCAGTGAACGAGTCGATGAGTCAGTCTTGCATTCAACCTCACTCCTTCAAGAGAAGTGTGGGGCTCTGATTATGCTTGATATTGTGGGGCAGCCTTGTGACTCCATACCCGGTGATTCGGGATGTGTGTTGCTTGGCAGTGAACCGTGAGTCAGTCTTGCATTCAACCTCACTCCTTCAAGGGAAGTGTGGGGCTCTGATTATGCTTGATAATGTGGGGCAGCCTTGTAACTCCACATACCCGGTGATTCGGCATGTGTGTTGCTAGCCTTGTGACTCCATACCCGGTGAGCCAGCCTTGTGACTCCATACCCGGTGATTCGGCATGTGTGTTGCTTGGCAGTGAACGGGTGAATGAGTCAGTCTTGCATTCAACCTCACTCCTTCAAGGGAAGTGTGGGGCTCTGATTATGCTTGATAACGTGGGGCAACCTTGCGACTCCATACCCGGTGATTCGGAACGGGCGTTCCTTGGCAGTGAACCATAAGTCATTCTTGCATTCAGGCTCACTCCTTCAAGGGAAGTGTGGGGATCTGATTATGCTTGATAATGTGGGGCAGCCTTGTGACTCCATACCCGGTGATTCGGCATGTGTGTTGCTTTGCAGTGAACGAGGGAATGAGTCAGTCTTGCATTCAACCTCACTCCTTCAAGGGAAGCGTGGGGCTCTGATTATGCTTGATCATGTGGGGCAGCCTTGTGACTCCATACCCGGTGATTCGGGATGTGTGTTGCTTGGCAGTGAACCGTGAGTCAGTCTTGCATTCAACCTCACTCCTTCAAGGGAAGTGTGGGGCTCTGATTATGCTTGATAATGTGGGGCAGCCTTATAACTCCACATACCCGGTGATTCCGCATGTGTGTTGCTTCGCAGTGAAAGTTGCGTCAGTCTTGCATTCAACCTCACTCCTTCAAGGGAAGTGTGGGGCTGTGATAATGCTTGATGATGTGGTTCTGCCAAGCGACTCCGTGCCCGGTGATTCGGGATGTGTGTTGCTTGGCAGTGAGTGACGAGTCAGTCTTGCATTCAACCTCACTCCTTCAAGGGAAGTGTGGGGCTCTGATTATGCTTGATAATGTGGGGCAGCCTTATAACTCCACATACCCGGTGATTCCGCATGTGTGTTGCTTCGCAGTGAAAGTTGCGTCAGTCTTGCATTCAACCTCACTCCTTCAAGGGAAGTGTGGGGCTGTGATAATGCTTGATGATGTGGTTCTGCCAAGCGACTCCGTGCCCGGTGATTCGGGATGTGTGTTGCTTGGCAGTGAGTGACGAGTCAGTCTTGCATTCAACCTCACTCCTTCAAGGGAAGTGTGGGGCTCTGATTATGCTTGATCATGTGGGGCAGCCTTGTGACTCCATACCCGGTGATTCGGGATGTGTGTTGCTTGGCAGTGAGTGACGAGTCAGTCTTGCATCCAACCTCACTCCTTCAAGGGAAGTGTGGGGCTCTGATTATGCTTGATCATGTGGGGCAACCGTGTGAATCCGTACCCGGTGATTCGGGATGTGCGTTGCTTGGCAGTGACCCACCCATGAGTCAGTCTTGCATTCAACCTCACTCCTTCAAGGGAAGTGTGGGGCTCTGATTATGCTTGATAATTCTGGGCAGCCTTGTGACTCCATACCCGGTGATTCGAGATATGTGTTGCTTGGCAGTGAACCGTGAGTCATTCTTGCAATGAACCTCACTCCTTCAAGGGAAGTGTGGGGCTCTGACTATGCTTGATAATGTGGGGCAACCTGGTGACTCCATACCCGGTGATTCGAGATGTGCGGTGCTTGGCTGTGACCCATGAGT